TATTATAATAATAATTTAATGATAATTTAATAATAATTTAATAATTTAATAATTTTTTTTTTTAGATATAGATATCAACAATTGATGCCAAAATTCAATAGAGATAATCTTGAAATTTAATTTAATCCTGAATTACTTAATAATAAAAATTGCATATTTTAATAACACATGATGAAACAACTTTTCATTCCAATGATGGAGATTATCTAGTTGAACACCAAAAGAAGAAAATTCATTACAATTCATGTAAGTGATTTAATGAATATTGGAATAAATAATGATGGTTAGTGATATATTTATTTATTAAATAAAAAATAATTTTATTTTATTTATTTTATAAAAAAAAAAAATTATAAGAAAATATAATTAAAAGTTAACATTTAGATAGTTGAACATACAATTCCAATATTTGAAAAAATTCATCCTGGATGTATTGCAGTTTTTGTATCAGTTCAGACGCTTTAATTGCAAATTATATGAATGTGGGATCTGGCGGTAAACAACCAATAATAAGAGATACCATTTTTAATGGTCAAATTCGAATTATAAACTTTTCTGGTAATTATTTAAATTCTTCTTCACTTTGTGGTAAATCAAAAGGAATGAGACAAATTTTATATGAATGCAATTTATTAACACTCAATTTAAAAGGATTATGTCAAAATAAGAATTCAGAAGAAAATAATTGCTGTATGAAAAATATTTTAGAAAAACAACCAGATTTTGTTGCTCAAAAATGTTTAATTCAAGAACCAATAGAAGTAAAAGGGCACAAAATTATTTTTTATCCCAAATTTCATTATGAACTTAATTATATTGGAAGTAAAGATACCTATTGTAATTATTTACAGGAGTTGCAACTAGTTGCAACTAATTGTGATTACACTTGGAAAGGTTTGTAACAAATTGTTCACTACATTGGATTCAGTTTCTTTACTTCAAACTAGAATATTTGCTCAAAAATCTTTTAGGTATATAGATGCTTACAAAAATGGATTAAATGCAAAACAAGCTATAAAAAAAAATATAAAAGATATTGTATAATTCCCAAAAGTTGTTGACTCGAGTTGTACTATCATTAATATTTACATGTGACTATAAAATAATAAATTAGATGCATGTGTTTGTTGTATTTGTTTATTATTTGATAAATAACAAAGTTGAATTTGGATTTAAAGATTGTAATGGTGATTTAACCTCAATGAAATACGCACTTTGTGTTATTATTAAATATAAAACCACTGAAATATTTCCAAACGGTACCTATAGATAAAGAGAATTAAATATGATTTAGGAGGAATATTAAATGAGAAACTTTCGTGTGACTGATAAACGTAGTTAATTCATCAATAGTAAATGTAACAACATTTAATAATGAGCATAATCATACATTTTTATTGAACTACAAAAGTTTGCTACTGCTTACAAAAATTTTCCTCAAGAAATTTGTTGTGCTATGGTCATTGTGATTCAACAACAATTAGAAATCTTTTTCAATCAAAATATCCTGATCAACTCAAGATCTCGAAAATACTATTTAAAAAAATTAAAAGAGATAAAGGATTGAACTTGGGTAACACGACGCTTTATTGATAAAAATTCCTTGAATATCAAACTCACAATCTGTAAAAATGATACAACCATAAATCAAAGAATTCTATATAATAAACTGTCTTATTATTTTTCATTTGACCAATGATTCTACAATATTTCCTGAAATATCTCTATCAAAAATCTTTCCAAAAATCTTTGTTTGTGCTTGTATCAAGAATTTCTTAAAGACTTTAAAAAATATTCAACATTTTCATTGTAAAAGTGTAGATGTAACCTGGATAAAATATTTCATATCTTGAGATTGGTTGTTCCTTTTATTCAAACATCAGAAAAATTAATAATACTTAACAATGGAGAGCATTATGTACACAGGTTGAAATGTTAACTATTCACCTATCTGCAGGCAAGGTGTGATATTTATGCAGAATATTTGGCACCTATCAAAGTACTTGATATGTGCAAAATACATTTTACATCATATCTGATATAAGTGAAAAACATTTACATCACATATTAAGTACTCAATATTCCATATAAATACTACACCTATCTGTCACTTATCTGCTACCAGATATTGACCTGTGTATTTTATTCGATGATTTTCATTAAAATTTATTGATCTCAATTTAACTTTATTTTATTTTTTTTCAATTATAAGATATTTATTGCAATAACTTTATTAAATAAAATTGATTACATATATGTTGTTGGAAACTGTATATACTTTATTATTGGATTTAATGACATGATTAAAATTTAAATGTAATATTGTCTGTACTCAAATGCCAACACTTCAATCTATTTTCATTACTAATCGTTGTGGGGGGTATATTTTTTAATCTTTACTGTTATTAATCCCTTTTCCTAAATGCAAAACAATATACTTACTTGAATAATAAATCGGATTCGAAAAAAATAGAGATCAGCTTATCATATAATTACGTAACAATGATCATAAATTCAAGCATCCTATTTTCTCAACCTTTCCACCTGCAATAAATAATCTCATACAGTCAGAACCTGCTCATTCTGTGGTGGACATAGAATTTCAAAATGGATCGTACATCTAAAAATATTGCCTTTACTTCATAAAATGTAAAAATTGTAATGTGAAAATAAAAAGTGTGGTGCCTCTCTAGAATTCGACAAGTGATATAACCGAAAATTGAAAGAGGCAGAGACATTGGTCTGAAAGTGAATTCAACCAAACCAAATACTATTCATATTATAGTTGGAAAAACGGTATTGTGGTTAATTAGAATGTGATTTTGATAAAGAGAATTAACAAAAAAAAACAAAAATATCTCATCAATTCAATTATTCCTGAAACAGCTCTGTCTTAAATGCATAACTGCCAACAGCCTTATGCAGATTTTTGTGGCAGTGATATTTTGGCGATATAAATCTTGAAACTCCGGATATGAACAAATATGATGTAATTAAAACTGTTTTTGAAATTGGGAAAATGTGCCTACTGTTAAATTATAGTTTTTAATTGAGATATAGAGAGATTCTATTTATTCAAGTATACAAAAAAAAATCTGACACCTATCAACCATTCCAACTTCTATCTCACTCTCCCCCACGATCACCTGGACCCAACTTTTCTGCTAAAAAAAACACAGAACTACTTGTTGAACAGTC